AATGAAGAATCAGATAGAGGTTTCGATTTAAAACTTTTTGAAGGTGATGCCACGATCTTATTTCTCTTTTCTCTCCCATGGGCCTGGCAGAGGGCCCTCTACAAGCTGGGTACTTAACTCTTGAATTATTCAACTGTTATTTCAGAATACAGCCTTAAACACTCACATTATTAGTACATATCAACTTATTCCCTAAAGTCCACAGAAACAAGCATTGTGGCAAAGGAAAATCACTGAATATGAAAGATTATCTTTGCAAGAGCTTGCTTCTTGATTATATTTTTTACATGCAGAATTAGAATAGTTTAATGGCTAAATTTGTTTTTATTTCATTTGAGAAATAAAATATGTGCTGCAGATACTAATATTGTGGTTATATGTCATGTATATTTTGTCACATACATTTAGCTTGATACATGCATCACTTCAAATGTCCATTTAGCTGACATACAAGAGATTGATATATATTTTCAACAGTCTTTTGTATGCAAGTGTGAGTAGCTTAAGTAACACAGGAGATAATTTCTACAGAATAAGGCTATTTATTTAAATTTTTAAAGAATTTACCTTTAGATTGGTTTTTGAGTTTTCTTAGAAAATTCATTTTCGTGGCACAGAGGATTATCATATCTGGCTGCTGGTCTGAGCCATCGAGGAAATAGAATTGAGGTTTTTTATTACCTGCTTAGAATGTAAAATCTCAAAGAAGAGAAATTATATTATTATTTTTTAATGGTACCAGGATTTAGCACAGTGCCTGACCCTTAATTAGTGTTCAGTAAGTATTTGTTGAACTGAATTTAAAAATTAAAATAATCATTTCAATACCTTGGTTTATACACACATTTTCAGGAACATGTATATTATACAAAGAAAGACCCACCAATAATCCTAAAATAAGGCAGATGACTCTAGGAAGCCCATCTCAATACGAGATGGATAAACAAAGTCTTCATTTTTTATGAGTTTGTATTTCAAGCTTGTGAGTAGACAGTGTTGAGCTACCTTCTGATTCTTTCTGTTGCTCAGCTGAATCTGTTTCATGAACCAAGTCAGATTCTCTTCCCTATTCCTACAGTAAAAATAATATAGTAGTGCCAGTGAGTCCCACTGCCTCCCAACATCCTGGGCAGCCATTCAACATCCTGCAGTTCTGTGGCCAGGCAAGGGGACTTAGAAAATGGGGCCTTACTCTTTCAGGCCACCACCATTCTGAATAATCACATCCTTGTTTCCATTTAAATAGGAAAGATGCCCAGAGGCTTAACCCACCCATTACTTCATGGTTTCAAGAAATAAAGGATAAATTGTACAGTTGTTGAAAATAACCTCTGCATGGAATTTCTATCACTAAATTATTCTAGAGCTCCAGAGAAGTTTCACTTGGATTATTAGATTATTTGTACATGGAAACCTAGAGAATAACAGAAGGAATTAGAAATCATCTACTTCTAGTATAATACCTGAATGTTTCATTCAAGGTAACTGAGGAACAGAATGATCAAATGTCACTCAAGGTAACACACAGGAGCCAGGAATGAAGCAGATAAGTGCCCTTCTCCTATACGCCACATGGATATGTCATAACACTGAAGCCACTGAATCCTTTAGGGTTCATTTGGACAATCTGGAGATTTATATAGTATCATGTATAACTACATGATAATGTTCATAGATTGAATGATGTAACCAGAAACTGTCCCTTTCCAATGTTGATATCCCATTCAGTGGAAATTCCATTAGAATTGTGGGCATCTCTATCATGTCAGTTCTTATAAATCAAGTCTAGTCTCCAGTTAATTTGCCTTGAATGGTGGGGCAAGCACAGTGTCATTATGCCTATGAACACTTAATGATTTTGAGTAATCAAATGGCATGCATTACATATTTTAGTGATACAAATACTTGCTGGTGGTAAAAGTCTTATAAGATATTCTGCAGAAAAACCTTCAGAAAATAATCTATGAGCTTGAAGAACAGATATTCTAAAACACACATCATAGGAGTTTTATACATGAACAACACTTTAGAGTTTTCCCAACTTTTTCAAACATTCAATGAACATAAAATGCCATTATGCTAAGTTTTCTAAATTTTTGTCTTTCAAATTGATATAATTTGAGGGACATTACTGGTTTTAAAATGATCAGCACATTGCTTATCAAGACATAGATTCCTATGTGTCAATGTTCAGTAAGTAGTTTGCTCTTCTGAGATAATACTTCTTTCAAAAGGAACATTTGATTGGGGGGAGGGCATAGCTCAAGCAGTAGAGCACATGTTTATCATGCATTAGTTCCTGGTTTCAATACCCAATATCTCCTCTAGAAAGAAATAAATAAACCTAACTCCCTCAACTACCCCCCCCAAAAGGAACATTTGAGCAATATCAACAGGCAGCCTAAAAAAATAATAATAAGATTAAATAACTGGTAATTATTTAATTTTTGAAATATTTTAAAAGCACTTATTTGAACATTTTAAATACCACCATCAGAAAGCAGATGGAGACATCAGGACAGAGGAGAAAAATCTCAAGTGTTCACAGGGTTACACGGAGTCTTTATGGCAAAGAGAACATTTAGCCTCTTTGAGTATTGAGGTAACTACTTTTTGCTCAACACAAACATTCTAGACCCTATAAGCAAAACAGAGCTCAAGCCCTTCAAAAAAAAAAAAAATCAAAGCTCAAGAAACTCTAAGAGGACTAGTTTTTGTTGCTGCTGGGTTTCCTAGCTTTTTGTCTTTCCAGTGACAAGCCCAGTTGTTAGTAGGGGAGGCCTGAGGGCAGGGTCACTCCCCAATGTTGTGCTGAGTACTTCCTGGCTTCTGCACATCATCCCCCTGCCTCAGAGCAGCCTCTAGGTGGCTGCGGGCCCAGCACTGGGGGCTCTGCCAGCACCCCGCTGCAGAAGAGCTCCAGGCATCTGGTGAAGGGCAGGAACAGCATTCGCATGCAGGCTCTGATGGAGAGACATGGGAGCCTCAGCGCAGGGCTGACTGGGCACAGAGGAAGACAGACAGCAGGGCAGTGAGTGACATGCTTGGTGTTGAGGCTGCTGCAACACGGGGTCTCATGACCCTTTCCTGTTCACTTAACCTTTGACCCTAACCCTCCAAGTCAGTGTAGGGTTCCAGTGGTTCCCGTATGACTGCAGCCTCACAGGAGATATCCAAGAGCTCCTCTTCAAGGGATGCCAAAGTGAGGGAACAGGAAGAGTTCCCTCACCCTGCCCTAGAACCCCCACTGTGTTCTACCCTCCCCTGGGTGAAGTGAGGTTTACTTAGACCAACAACTCAGTCCCCCCTAAAACCTGCTACTTGGAATCCTGGCCAGAGCCAACCTTAATCTACTCTTTGATTTTCTTCACACTTTGATTTTTGGGGGATTTTTTTCTTCTTCTTCTTCTTCTCCTCCTCCCTACCTCCCTTCCTTCCTTCCAGGAATGAGACTTTCTACTACTTTCCTCTTCTCTCCTAAGTCCCTTCCTTCTCCTTTGTTGGCCTCCAGCAATGCCAGCACCACCCTTTCCTTTCTGTCCAACCAAATGGTCTGGCCACTTCCACTCCCTCCCACAGTGGGGGAAGCTGAGCCAGACGCCAGCGCCTGCGCCTGCCTCTTCCTATCCACTGACCCACAGTCATCCCATCTGACAAGATCTGTTGGATAAATAGGCACTTAAGTTCCCACTATAGGTTCAGGTCCAGGCCCAGCCCTTTTCCAGTTTCCATCTTGGTGAGGGTCAAACCTTCTTCTCCTCCAGGCTCATCTTCTCTGGTCCTTTGGCTTCCTCTCCTGCCTCCGGGCCCACTGGTCAGCCCAGGTGCGGCGAATGAGGAGGACGCTGCTGTCCCCGAGTACAGGAGCGCGTACTGCCTGGGCGAGCAGGGTCGCCAGTTCTCGTCCCGCAGCCGCCCGAACACCTCCTGGGCCAGGCGCTGGACCTTCTGCTTCATCTGCCGCAGGAAGCGGAGGAAATCCACCTTCTTTCACTCTGCGGGTCCTCCACGTCCCGCTCTGGGCTCAGGACTGCATCCAGCTTGCGCCTGTGACAGGTGGGCGACACCGTCTTGCTCTTGCCACAGCGCCAGATGCCACACAGAAGGCTCAGGGGGACCTCGCTCAACCAGTATTTGGACAGCAGTTCCTGAGCTCCTCCACTGGCAGGTTAATGATCTTGTGGTTAGTGAAGGCGATCTTCATGGCTCGGGCTTGATGCTCATCTTGGCTCTTCTGCTTGTCCAGGAAGTCAGCCTGTTTCTCCTTGCTGTGTTTTTGGGGGCAGTGGGTGGTGGCAAGTCAGCAGAGTCGAGGGCCCTAGGCGCCATGTCATACCTGTGATTGTGGCCTACGCGCTCCAAGTAGGGCAGGCAGGCGAGGTGACACGGATGCTGGTAGCTCATGTGGCTGGACTTGGAATACTCGAGCTGGTAGCCCACAGAGCCCTCAGCCTCTTCCAGATCCCAGGTCTCAGAGTCAGAGCTGTAGTCAAGGCACCTTCCTCAGAAATGGAGAAGCAGCTGAGGAAGAAGTGGAGGAGGAGAGGGAGGAGGAAGGGCTGCCTTCAGAGCTATGCAGGGAGGAAGGGCTTTGGCTGGAGTCCAAGGAGAGGCCTGAGTCAGAGTCAGATTTTTCTTCTTAAATATAAATATTTCATAGGCCCAGTGAAAAAATATTTTATCCACTGTCAATAACATTTGTCAGAACTCTGTGCTGTTTAAGCGTGATCAACTATACCAACTGTAGGATATTTTCTAGTCACCTCTGTATCTAATTGCCAGGATAACTTCAAGAATTTTATTTCATCAGTTCTGATTATTTTATAGCAAAGATAATCTCCTCATTCTAGAAAACAAGGCTATCTATTAACCACTTCTGTTAGCTGCTAGCCCTCACTTACCATCTCAGAGTCTCTTTGATCTTTACATCATTACATCTTTTTGATAGTTGATTTGATCCAGTCCCTGTCTTTGAATATAATCTAAATGCTGTTGACCACCAAGCTTCTATCTCTAGTCTTGACTGCTCTTATAAGCTCCAAACATGGAACTTCAACGGCATTCTCTGCTGCATCTCTGGTATTTCCCTGTTATCTCAAAACACTTTATGTCCAAAACTGAACTCTTCCATCAACCCCCCTCCCCACCCACTGCGCCCACTCCCACCCCTACTTACATCCTAGTCAGACTGACCTTTTCACAGTAATTAGAATACTGAAGTTGTGTCTCATTGCCTTCCCTGCTATTAACTGCTCTGCAGCAACATATCCTTGTACATCTCCTTAAGCACTTCAACACTTAGGATACGGACTTTCTCTGCTTTACCGGATGTTGCCAAATTGCTCTCCAAGAACTAATATCAATTTACATTCCAACCAGCAGTATATAAAAGTTTCAGTTTCTGCAACACCTAGACATTTGGTATTGCCATGTTTTAATTTTTAACATCCAATGGCTATAAGATGTAATCTCATTATTAATTTAATTTTTATTTCCCTAATAACTGGTGAAGCTGAGCATCTTATCATACATTTATTTGTCCTTTGGTCTTCCTTTTCTATAAATTGTTTGTTTATATCCTTCATCTATTTTACATTAGGTTGTTCAAGGCCTTTTTTCTTTTTTCTTTTTTTTTAGTTTCTAGGAGTTCATAATACCACCTGGATACAAATCCTTTGTCAGTTTCATGTATTACAAATACCTTTTTTTTTTTATAGTTTGTGGTTTGTTTTTAACTTTATTTATGGCAACTTTTTATTATACAGAAGTTTAAATTCTGATGTATTTGGTTTATCAATATTTTCATTTAACATTTAATGCCTCATTTGATAAATTCTTTTTATCCCATAGTCATAGAAATATTTTCTTTAATTTTATTAAAATATTTTTAGCGTTTTGTTGATCACATTAATTCTTTAATCCAATTATTGTTTATTTTTGTTAATAGTGAATGATCTAACTTTAATTTTTTGTGTGGATACTTATCATCTATTAATTAATCTATTCTTCCTTCCTCCCCCCAATTTTTAATGCCTTTTTAGTTATACACCAAGGCCCTTATGCATTAAGATTGCTTTAAGGCTCTCTGTTCTCAACTTGATGATTTTTCTATTCTGGCACTATTATCACACTGCTCCGATTATCATAGTTTTATAATAAATATCAGTTATCTACTGCTTCAAAACAAACTGCTATAAAAATGGATTTTTTAAATCATTATTTTTCATTATTTTATGGATAACCACAAAATTCTGCTTCCTGTGATATCTGCTTGGGCACTGGGACAACAGTGAGCTCCAAAGTAGCCTTTTTAACATGGTTGACATTTGGTGCTAGCTGCCAGGTGGGAGACGGAGTTGTTGACCAGGAGCCTTTGTTTTCCTTTTCGAGGGCCTCTCCACGTGGCTGTTTGCAGAGTACAACAAATACAATCTAAGAAGACATTGCAAGTTGCAGCTCTCTTAAGACCTAACCTCAGAAGTGACTCAAACTTACTTCTGCCTTATTATGTCGGTCCAATAGATTAAAAAGGAGGTAAAATAGAATATGCCTATTGATGAAGTAGCAACATCATATTGCTAAAAGACATGTGGGAAGGAAAACAGTATTGTAGTCATTGGAAGTACAATCTACGACACTCTGGCAAGGCAAGTCTTACCTTTCCATTGTGCTTCTTCAACATCATTTTGGTACTTTGTCTTCCATGTATGAATCTATGAATTTTGGGATCAACTTCTCAAATTCCAACCAAAAAAATCCTAAATGGGATGTGGAGTAAAGTTTCAAATAATATTCACTCCACAAATGTTTATTGCCTACCTATTATGTGATAGTCACTGTTGTAGTACTACTGATACATAAACTAACAAAATGTACAAATTGGCTTCGCCAATGAGCTCATGATTCAGATAATTTGGAGAAAATAGCGATCTTTATTTCCTTTACTCTTCTAATCAATAAACATTTTATTTCTCAAAGTTAGGTTTTAATTTATGTCCTCCATTGAAGCTTTATAATGTCTTTTTATAAATCTATACCTTTTTTATCTGATTTTTCTTGGGCAACTTATTGACTTTTTCCCCCTGCTATTTGAGGCTAAGCTCTTCAAGGGCAACAGTTTTAACTGCTTTATGTCTTCTTATAGCTCCAGATACATGATCAGATACTTCAGGATAATGTGCTTGCTGAATGGTTAACCGTTTTAATGAATAAAGGTATAGTGAAATGAAAGTTTAATTTTCCACTTGGAAATCTTAACCATGCCAGGTCAAATTGTCTGAATCAAGCTAAATTCCTAGAAATGAGCAGCATTCATATGTCAGGTGAACTGCCCTCATCATACATTTAGGGAGAATCCTTATACAAAAATCATTCAGTAATGTAAAGGAGCAGCACATCCAGTTACTTAAATAATTTAAAAAAGAAGGGGAAAAAATGCTTTCCAATCTCTATGTGGATATTTAAAGAAGTTAAAAAATGTGTTTGCCTGGCTGCTGCTAATCACACTTTTAACTCATAATTTTGAAATTAACCTCTAAATTGGTTACAGTGAGGAACAAATTAGCTCACTTTATAAATGGAATAAAGCTCATTGTGAGTCTCTTGAGAAATCCATGAACATTCTTATTTTCAGACCCTCAATTATCAAATATCCACAATTCTTAGTTTTACAAGCATGCTGAATTCTCAGTGCGAAAAAAGCAGCCTAAGTAATATTACAACACCAAATGATACAAAAACTGGTAAGTACTGAGGAGATCTAAGATTCATATTGCAATTTTCTTCTCTCCAGATGGATAGCTTCTGACACCCAGTGTCACCATGCATTCAGAATCACCATAAAAGTTGCTTTCAAAATCATGGCTATGCTAACAAACAGAATTTCCAAACGTTTCAAGGTCTGGTACATAGATCAGAAATGGCCTAATGACAATATCACTCTTTTCAATACTATTTATAGATTACAATCATATATTCCTTTATATATATGAGAAAAAGTTGTATATATTGTGAAAAAGTTTTAGAAAACACCAATCCTTTGAGAAGCTCCAGACATTGTATAAGTAATCTGAAATCTGCAGAATGTTACACTATGAAATGTAAAACTAGGAAACCAGAATGGAAAGAGTGGGAAACATAAGCTCAGTTAACACTAAAACACACTGCCAAGATGGAAACCTCCACATAGTCTCTCTTTCTGCCCACTCTGGGCTGGCATTCCCTACAGTTCTTTCCTTCCTGCTCCAAGTGCATGCTAAATAATTATGAAATCTAAAGCTTTAGCCCAAGATCTGTCACCTGAGCCCAAGATCTGTCACCATGTTTTTAACTCCCCCGAGGTATCACTGTTTGAATGTCACAGAAACACTGCAGACTCAGCAATCCCAAAAGGAACTCATGGTTCTCACCCCCAAAGCATCTGTTCATCCTTTCACATCCCCTGTCTCAGGGAACAGCATCACCATTCACCCAGGCCTCTATGCCAGAATACTGGGTGTCATTGAAAATCCTTTTCTCTTATTTCCCACCTACAATTGGTCACCAAAACCTGAGGGTTACACACAATCTCATCCTTTAATGACATACTGACCAATTTTCTCTTCTTCATACCCACTGCTATAGCCTTGGTTCAAGTCCTCATCATCGCCTATATGGCCCATGACGGCAGTCACATAGCTGGATCCCCTGCTGAAAGATACACCTCCTTTAATCCATTCTCCAAATGTTTATCAAATAATCTCTGTAAAATGCACATAAAAGCAAATTTCTCACCTGTTTAATAGTTTTCAAAGGTTATAAATGTTTATGCAGGATAAAGTTCAAATCCTTAGGACAATTTGCAGGGTCCTCTACGACCTGGCTCTTGCCTACATCTCTAACTTTTTCATTTAAGTCCTGGTTCTCTCTTCAACCTGCTACCTATTTATGCTGCACTACTTAGACTCGCTAATTCATACCTTTGCTCATGATGCTCCTTCTGCTTGGAAGATTCTCTCCCCACCTTTAACCTAATGAAGTACTCATTCCAAAGGTCCAATGGAAGCATCATCACCTCCACAAACCTTCCTGAAATCTGTGTGGAATTATAAACCCCCATCTTTGTGCCATAAGTATAATAAGAACTAATATTTATGGAGTACTTATCATGTACCAGACATTGTGCCCAGTTTATTATTGTCATTCTACCCTATAGATAAACTTAGTAACTCCTTTTACATTACCTTACTACTATAGTCTACAAATACATTTATAAGTAAATACAGTATGCTTTATTTTACCTACTTGTTTATATTTTGTATTTACGTTTACTAGCCTGAAAAGTAGTTATGGATTAACTGTGTTTTATCTTATTGTCTTTTACCTAAAATCCTTCGTTGCACAAGGAGATCTCAAGGCTTTGTTGACAAATGACATTTAATGGCTCCCAGAAGATTGACATGATAAGCAGACCTTCAATGACCTTCTACCTACTTAGAGTTTCTCCTAATACAACTAAACATGACATCAGAACCATTTTTTAAATTTAAAAATTCATCCTGGATCAAAGCAATTATCTACCTAACCTATTAGTGGTATAACAAAGAAAAATACAAAAAGACTACCATTCATGATAATACTCTTAAAGATAAGCTAATTTAATCATGCTTGTTTGTATTAAGCACTTAATGCATTTATACGAGTTAATTAGAGCCTATGCAGATTTCCTGCTTGCTCTATTTATTGGAAGAAAATTTTTTCTAAGGGTTGAAAAATACTGTCTAAAGTAGCATTTGAACATTTTATCATACAATGATTTTATTTAACACAGTAATTCTAAACAATTCCTTTTAGCTAATACCTGTAAACATTCAGCAACAATCCACCAGTTGAAAGTCTATGATTCAGTTTTGTTGAGTGCTACCGGCTTGTGACATTAAATTAAGATGTTTTATTCTGGACTAAATACAAAAGACAAAGAATAAACCAGTCATGTAGCTACCTGCCAGCAGAGGAGTTACAGACCTGTTGTTATTAATATTAACAAAGTCACAATTTTCCAAAACATTTAGATGTGGTGGCAAGAAAAAGTATTGAAAATGATTTGCATATCAAACAGCCTCTTCATCCTTGCTGAATTTACTAGTTTTTGGCAAAAAGACCCTTTGTCTTCTTTCAGCATTTCAGGGGTCTAATTTTCCATGGTTCTGATCACAAGGGTAACTTACCCTATGCCATTCATAGGCTGGGGTCATATAAAATGAATATAACTGATACAATCCAAGCAGGAAGTATTTATTGTCAAATAACCATAAATATTTTCTTGTTTGTTAAAAATTGATTTACCATTATTAAAAATTTTCAATTAGATTTGATTTTAAAACCAGCACTTTAAACATGATGTGCTCCCTCAGCAACTAATAAAATAACATTTTCTGTAGCATATGTAGAATATTTTAGACCAAATTCTTATTTGCTCATAATGCTCCTGTAAAACCTTTAGATGCTTGCCATTTAAATAAATATATCTCTTAATATTTATTTATAAATTAAGCACTCTTCCTATATATTGTTTTCACAAAATTTGGGGTTCTGGATGTTCTTCCCTCTTTATTAGGAAGCCATCTCTATTTTGGGCATCCTTTCCTAGATGAGTTTGCTATATGAATACCTTTTAAAATAATCTTATGCCTCATGCCGTCACATGTGTTTGCCTCCAGCAGGGGCAGTCCTCAAATTTGCTGTCATATCCTATCTGCTTCTTAGTTAGTGGCTTGACCACGTATTAAATCACCCCA